CAAATTATAGACATATATAAGAAAAGAAAGGGCACGAGCACTAGACCTTTCTAAAATAATCTCCGTTTAACTGGTTGTCATTATTTTCTTCATTACTTATATTCTATAGAATAATGGTTTAAATTTTTTTATTATTAATAGTAGTATTATTATTATAGTTAATTATTGTTATTTATGAATTTATTAAATTTGTGTTTTTTATAATTATAATTGTTATTACTGTTGTTGTTGTTGTTGTTGTTGCTGCTGCTGCTGTTGTTGTTGTTGTTTTTATGCAGTTGAAGAACACCTGTTTGGCAACGTGGCACCTACGTGACAATATTGCTCAGTTGGTTTTATGGTTACTGTTTGCTTGTTCGTTCGTTCACTCGCTCGTTCGTTCTATGTGTCTATCTTTCTTTCGTTCGTTTGTTTGTTGCACTTGATATTTTCATTGGTTGTCAATTTTCCAATATTTTTATTCTAATTAATTAATATTTACTTGTCACTATATTTTATTGGAATAATGTTTTATGCATAAAACCGAAAAACATATAAGCGAACAATTTTAAATTTCAGAAAAATCAATTTTTTAATTTTGGGTCAAATTAATAAAAAAAAATTCTAATTAATTTAAAAAATTGTTTTTTGAAGACATGGAATTGTGATTATTAAGAAGATAGAGCTGTTAATTTTAACCAATAATGAAATATTGAAACACTAAATAAATAAAATTAGAAGGCGTCAAACGTCTGGGTGTGTGTTGTGCTAAACAATTCATAGCTTTCAATCATTATTGAATCATGTTTAACTGATTGATGAGTGATTGAGTTGGTCGAGATCAAGACGCACGTTTCAATTTTTAAGCCATATAAAACATAATTTTTAAAACAGATGATATCTAAAAAATAAATTAATTGAAAAACGAAATTAACTTAAATGGGGTTTGGCTTTATTTCAATTTTTATAAACAATTAAAAATAACTAGAGAAGGTGATCTCGAAATAGCTAGATAAAATTAGTCACTCACCGCAATACAAATGAATAAATGAAATGAAGAAGACGTAGAATGAATAGTGAAAAGATGGAATCATCAGTAACAGTGGTCACAATGTTCTAGGGAACTTTAGGCCTCATACATCAAAACGTATATATAATTATATATAGGATATATATATATTATTTATTATTGCAAGTCAATTTGTACAGCACCAATTACCAAAAGATCTCAAAAGCGCTCCCTAAGAAATTAATGAACAAAAACATTAACATAAACGTTAATCAAACAAAAATAAGGACATTGTTAGATCTGCAAAAATGAGTGAGTCTTCAGATCCTTTTTAAACAAAATCAGATAGATTTGGTCTTCTTGAAAAAGCCGGCAGACTGTTCCAAGCCACAGGTCCAGCAACATCAATATTTTGTGATCCCATCTGTAAATTCGTTGCTGGCACAAACAGGAGATTCCTATCAATTGATCTCAAGTGTAAACCCAACACAAATGTTTTTCTAATGAACTTGAATGTCAAATATTATGGTACCAAATCATGTAATGACCGAAACATTAACACAGCAATTCTGAAAATTATCCTTTTCTTAATTTTTAGCCAGTGTAGCTTGTTTAAGATAGTAGCAACGTGATAAAACTAGATTTTTTGTGACAAGTTTTGCAGTTCGATTTTGATTTGATTAAAGTACCACTATTGACTTGTGCGGTAGTTTAAATCACAAACTGTTACAATAATCCAATCTAAATGTAATAAAAGCATGTACCAATGTATCCATGACAGATATGTTCAAATAGTGTCGAATCCTGTATAATCTTCTGAGATGTATCATATTTGCAATTGCTAGCGATTTAATATGATCTTTCTTTGAGAGCCTTCTATCCAACCATACACTCAAATATAAGGCTGTAGAAGCAAACGATACCTCACCGTCACCGACCTCAACCGAGTTTATACGTATAGATATAATGTTCCAAAAAATAATGAACATTGTAAATGTATCATAAGCCCGGTTTGTTGCTGGCTATCGATCGACAGATTGAATGATTGAATGAATGCATCAGTTGGTTTGTGTTCATTGTACTTGATCAATCAATCATTCATCCCTCATCACGTGATTTATTCCTTCCTTCCGCTAATGAGAAAGTTTTCATTAATTATTCAAACATATCGGAAAGCCCTCACACGGTATTATACATCGATCTTGCATATTATTTGGCTCCGTACATTCCTGATTTGTCACGTGATATAAATAACAACTGCCCCATCGGTTATATATTTCAGCGGCTGCTAAACATAGGTTAAATGTGTTCTGCGAAGGTTTTGAGAGTCGAATCGCAAAGTCAGCAGAGAGAGATGCGTCATCGTTGGCGGGCTGGCTGATTTGAAGTGACGAGTACCACCTCTTCCATGTTTGATGTCGTTCGAGGGACGTGGATGATTTAATTCAATTTGCAAATTTCCATGTTCGTACGTTATTTCATTTTTATTCAGAGCTCATGCAAACGTTCACAAGCCACACGTGCTTATGTATATAATACACATGTGTATTATTACATACATTAGAACAAACATATAATATATATTGTGTGTGTGTGTGTGTGTATGTGTGTGTGTGTGTGTGTGTGTACCTGTACATGCGTGTGTGTACAAAACTGTACATACATATATTTATATTTAATTAAATATACATACACACAACATACACACAAACATGCATCCACGCACAAACAAACGTACGCCTAACATTAACAAGACCGACGAGTAGATAAGCAGACTGGGAAATAATTTCAATGAGAGATTTGTCATAACATGTTGCGTTACGTGATTTGTTATAATGTTTCAGCAGGTTGTGCCAGCAGCATATGTTCGTGTTTTTTGTGCTCTCATTCCTATATAAATGTGGGACTTCAAGTTTATATACATGTAGCAATAAAGAGGTAGTTTTTTCATCATTATTCAAAACATTTTTTTAAAGTTTCAGAATATTTGAATTAAAAATTGACATAAATTTTTTTTTAATTTAAACTATAAAATTAAAATTTTTAATTTTTTGTAAGATTTCATTTGAAAAAATTGTTAAGAAGTTGAATAAAATGTTGCCAACGCAATTTTTAATATGTTTGAACTTTTTTCTGTTTACAATTCATTTGAGCGCCGGAGCTAGTTTGAACATTAGCATGAACGAGGAGACACCTGTAAATGAAAAGATATGCAACATAACGTACGAAGTTCTGAAGCAAAAAGATTTCATTCATTTATTAAATGTTCGAAGTTTTGTCTTTGATATTTTAAAATCAGATGATTATCAATATTTCGAATTAATTAAAGATGGAATTTTTATTAGAAAGAGGGTTGATTACGATGAAATTTGTCCTGAAAGAATTGAATGCTCGTTGTCCATCAACATTGCAATCATGCAACCAGTAGAATATTTTAAGGTTATTAATGTTAACTTTATTGTTCATGACATAAATGATCATTTTCCGATTTTTGAAAAAACGTCAATCGAGTTGGAAATATTGGAAAGTTGCGAAATTGAAAGTTCATTTTTGTTGCCTGACATCAAGGACCTAGATTCGGAATTTTCACAAAATTACGAAACTTTTTTAGAGGGAAGCGGTTCTAATTATTTTCATATAAAAAAGTTAGAAACTTCAAAAAACAAGTTAAAAACATCTTTGGTGTTGAAACAAAAGCTAGATCGAGAATTTCAGGATCGATTCGAATTATTTGCTCGAGTTATTGATAAAGATTTGTCAAACTCTAGTTCAACTTTACAAATACATATAAAGGTGCTTGACGCTAATGACAACAATCCTGTTTTTGAAAAATCCTTCTATATTTTTGATCTATTTATGCCAAGAGAATCTAAAATAACATTAGGTAGCGTTAAAGCAACCGATATGGACCTTGGTAAAAATGGCCAAGTTGTTTATCAGATAGTTTCTATAAATAAATACCATGCACAATTTATGACTGTTGACAAAACGTCAGGATTGCTGGAACTTTTCGTCACCGATTGGTGTAAATTTCCATCTTCACATGTTCGTTTGAATGTTTCTGCAACTGATGGAGGGATGGAGCCGTTACAGGATTTAGCGATTGTCAACATAAACATCACAAAATTTAACTGTTACGAACCAGAAATTAAAATCGGAGACACGTCAGTAAAAGGAGTTATTAAAATCTCTCCAGGCATTGAAGCCAACGGTTTCATTTCCTTTATAAACGTTTACGATGAAGACGGTGATGACGTCAGTTGTTCGGTCGATTCAAAATATTTAAACTTGTTGTCCGTCTACAAAAATATATTCAAGTTGATTCTTATGATCGATGCTGTGAATATTTATGAAGATGAAATTTTCTTCAATATTTTATGTTTTGATAATGGCAAGCCATCAATGAATGCGTCAAAAAATTTTACGATTGTTTTTGACAGTCAAAATTATAACGCTCCGGTTTTTCTTTCAGAAGATTATAACTTCTACGTACAAGAAAACAACGATACTCCAGTTTTTATTGGGTCAGTCAGAGCTTTAGACATCGACAGAGGAAAAAATGGTGAAATTGAGTATTTTTTACTTAATGAAAATAACATCTTGTCAGTGGGCAAAGATTCAGGAGATTTGTTTCTTTTGAAATCTCTTGACTACGAAGTTAATCAACTTTTTGAATTCTTAGTTATTGCTTGCGACCGAGGTGAACCAAATCTCACGTCAAATGTCTCGGTTTTCGTAAATGTCGTCAACACAAATGACCGTGCTCCAATGTTCGATAGACAAATTAGTAAAATGTCAGTTTACGAAAACTCACCAAAGCACACATTTGTAGGTCATTTGTCGATACATAACGACGATTTAAAACCTTTTGATGAAGTTTTTTTTGTTGTTGACAACGAATCGTCAACGTTGTTTAACAAACATTTTTATCTTGACAATGTTACTAGAAGCATAACAACAAAACTGATGATTGACAGAGAAACAATTTCGTCATTTGTTTTTAAAATTTCTGTATACGATGCCCACACCAATGTTTCTATTTCATCAACTGAGCTGTTTATTACAATTTTAGATGTTAATGATAACGTTCCAATCATTTTGAAGCCAGATTCGACAAGTGCTGTTCTAGAAATTTCAAAATTTCTTCCTCCGGCTTCTATGGTCACGCAGATAGTTGCTGTGGACCACGATTCATCAATGAACGGGCAGATCCTTTACCTGTTGAACCACACGTCCAAATACTCTTCTATGTTTAGTTTAAATAACCAAACAGGAGAACTTTATTTGATAAATTATTTTCCTCCAACAATCGCAGATCAGTTCATTAATCTAGAATGTTTAATATCCGATAAAGGACAACCACCTCTTTCGACACGATTAACGATAAATTTGATATTAACCAGTTCTCGGAAGTCTTCAGCCAATGTTTTTACAAGATCATTATATGGCAAACAATCGTCACATACAATTTTAATTATAGTTTTTGTCACCTGCCTTTTACTCATTTTAGCGTTGAGTCTCTCCATTGTGTCAGTCATGGTGTGTAAGCACAAAATGGCGAAAGCGAATAATTCCACAAATTCAACTAATGCGCGATCAAACCCAAAACATCTAACGCACGATCAAAACTATTCAAAGTGTTTGCAAATTTCGCATGTTGATGGAGATGAGCCAGAGACTTCCAACTTTTGTGGGGCATGTGGAATTATTAAAGCACATCTTGACCTTGACCTAAACGAAAACACCACATCCAACAAAAAGAGCTGTATTAATGACGAGTATTATTATCCAACTAAACTTTTAAGAAAACCTTCCAATGCGGACAATGTCACTTCGTCAAATTGCTCCCTCATTTATTGAAATTTATTTTTGTGTTTTTGCAAATTAATTAAAAACTGAAAATTTGAAATTGTTTACATGTATGTGAAGTGAAGCGTATGTTTTGCTAAAAGTTTGATATTTCAAACTACTTTTAACACGCATTCATTTCACATTGAAATAACTGAAACAGAGTATGAATAATTAGTGGGCATAATATTTATTCTTGTTTTTTTGTAACCTTTTTGAAAATATCATCAATTTAACACTTTTTGGTAACAGTGTGTAAAAAAATAGATTAAAACATAATTATAGAGTTAATTATATATATATATATATATATATATATATATATATATATATGTATGTGTTTATATATATATATATATATTATTTAATTTTTTTTATTCATTTACACATTTTATTAACCACAAATATATATATATATATATATATATATATATATATATATATATATATATATATATATCATATATATATATATAATAATAAAATAAAAGCTTGTAATGTTAGTTTGGGTTTATTGAATGAGAGATCGATTATTTTGAAGACTGATGTAGTTCAGGAATTAATTCAAGAGGGATTTAACATTTTTGTCTTAGTAGATAATATTTCTGTTAAATTTTCAATGCCACCTAGTTATGAACCTTTTCTAAGATTACATGATCCAATTCCATGGTGGAGTAATTGTTTATTTCTGGACTTTAACATGGAGCTGGCATGACCAACAGACGTCTTTTACCGTACATATGCCGATAGATTAAAGTTAGTTAAATGAAATATTTGCTAAAAACAAACACTGTTATAGGATGCTGAATGTAGTTTTAAAGAGGTGTTGATGCGGCCTTGTTTTCAACGTCATCGTCATCATCGTATTTCATGATTATATGAAAACAAAATTTTTTAAAACCTTTTGTTCGTAAAATATTAGCATATTCAAATCAACAGTTTGCCCTATTTAAAATTTTAAAAATCTGTAAAATCAGTTTAGTGAAATTTTGATACAAATTTCCGAAAACTTACCGTTAAATGTAAATAAATTGAAGGTTTAAAACTAGTTACGCATTATGTGCCAAACAAACATTGAGTTAAATGGCACAGTAAGCAATTCAGCAAACAGCAACTCACTGACGTATAATCGTAGAACGAATAAACACGTTTAAATGCAAATTTATCCTCTACTTTAACAACAACAAATTTAGTTTGTTTGATAAAACAATGTTACTGATTAGAAATAACGTTTTACAATGAATTTGAAAAAAATAGTTTTATAAGTTATGCAGTGCGTTTGTTTGTTCGTTCGTTCGTTTTTGTTGGTTCATTTTTTTCTGTTGTTCGTTCGTTCTTCCTTCGTTCCTTCCTTTGTTTATTTTTCCTTTAATGGCACATGAGCTCCCACTCATATGCCATGATGTTCCACAATTACATATTTGAAAATTTTGTATGATCTATTTTTCACTCCTGATCTTTTAATTTGGCTTCATTACAATCTGCGTTTAGGAATCTTCATTAAAAGTTTGCTTCTTTCCACATTCGCATTTCACTATTCGTTTTGTAAAGCCGAGTTTTAGTTAGTTCCAGCATTTTTTAAATCAGCAACTTACTGGTCACATACCATCTGCATCTCACCAGCTTTAGCAAAAATATGCAAGTTTTTTTTTTAAAGGATAGATTTTTGGCGTTCAAACTCACTGTTAATTTGTTTGTTCATCTCATCTTGCACAGTTATAAAGTTTTAATGTGTTATTTCAACAAATCCAATTACGTCGTCATCGCTGCATTGTTCGTCCACTCTTTTTGCACATTTTCTTTCATATCAAATACATTTACTTGAGCGAATGACATGAATTCGTTTTAATTTTTTTACAAATTGAATCTAAAGTTTCTCTTAATGAATTGAATTATTCAATAGTTCAATTATTCAGCTAAAAATGTATAAACTGTACGTTGTTGTTAGCGAGTAAAATGGCGGGATAGACAAAATTCAATATCTTCACATTAGTTAATCAAATGGCATGTTTGTCTTCTGTGGTCCTTTGCGCCGATGTTCACAAAGTGGAATTCCTATAGAATCAATGAAAATTTTATTTTTTGGTTTATGGATTGAAGCATTTTTAGAAATTTATAAAATAAAAATCGAGAAAATATTTTCCCTTTAACTCAAACTGGAGACATGCATCCATTGCCCTTTTCCGTAGATGCCCTCTGGCTTATTCTAAATAAAAAAACATAACTTTGGTTCATATTTTTGTAAATTTTGACGTTCGTTACTAACAATACTAATGTTGTAACTTCAATGATTTCTATATTTCCAACACCAGTGTTGTAGCTTCCAACGATCGTCATCTATTTTCCCTAGGTTCAACACAACTGCTTCAAACACAAAATTTATTGAACGTGTATTTGAATGCCAACAGAAATAGAAACATTAAACTTATTCAAGTGAATCACCAATTACAATTACAACTTCGCTTCAAACCTTCTTTAGAAACCTCTCTATCCACAAATCCTCACATAGCCTCTACAGTAGATTTTTAGCATAGAATCGATATCTCTTTACAATCCTCTTTGGTTTACAATCCAAAAATTAAAAATAATGCAAAGATAACAATAATTAGGATGACAAATAGTATAGCGCAATTTGATCATTCCAGCGGTTACAACAATATGTTCAGCTAACTAAAACGACCTTATGAAAATGGTATCAATGCCTTTGAAGTAATTTATGGTGGAATGTTTATGAATATTTTAAGTCCTATCAGATTGGGTGAAGTTGGTTGAACAGCAAAAAAAAAATAAGATAACTCAATGAAAATTTGAAATTACAGCAAATCGCTAAAACCTTTTATTTAGTCAGATTTAGCAGGAGATAATAAAAACAAGATTTCAAACCATTTACATTAACGAAATTTAACAAAATTTCATAAGCAGAAGTAGTTGAATAAAAAGTTAGATCGTATTTTAAGTAAGATCGGATTTGAAGTATAGAATAATGAACTAAATTATGTTAATTTAGTTGAATTTGATTGAGAATTTGTTAACACATTGCGACTTAAAATCCACCGATGACTTATAATATTGAAAATAACGATCTACATTATATAACTTTAACATTAAAAACTCTATTGTTGTCACCGCATTTGATGGTTTATCTCTAAAAAGTTTGAAGAAAAAATTGACAAATCGATTGCAAAAAAATTATTTTAAAAACTAACAAATAAAACCATTACAACTGCAACATTTAGTAATTGTAACGAATTCACGTTATGAAATATCAAGTAATCTATGATAAACATTTCAATCTGACATTATAATTATTATTACAAACAATCTACGCATCAAATCTCATTCACATTATAACCAGCACATTAAAAAATTTATGTGAATTTAAGCCAATATGAAACATTTCAAAAAGCAGTTTTTGACGTAATACGAAATGCAGTTACAATGCCAAAAAATTCGGCTTGCAAAAGTTGATTCAAAATGGTGCGTCTTTATCCTCATCATTTTGCAAGGATTTTTGTACAGCTTCGGACGATATTTGTTGTCAGACTATTAAACATATTTAATGCTGATTGTTAAACATCAGTTGTCTGAGTTCTGTTAAACAGATCAACACGCCTAGCATAAAATAAAAGTTACAAAATTATAAACAGTTGAAAACAAATCGTACATCACATGAGTTTTTGGAAATCAGCAAGTTGAAAAATTGATTACTATCAATATAATCGAAATGAGTGTGAATGATATTTGTTCAAAACGCAGAATTATTGATTTGATTTTGGGAGTTCCTAAAGGGCGGGGGAGGGTGGTAGAGGTCGTTCTGCTGGTAGGATGAAACAAACGCCTCCACCTGTGGAGTCTTTGTATAAGTGACGATTCTCATGTTTTCTGGCTGAATTATACGTATCGTAATTTTAACTGAAGTTATATGAAAATGTTTTTCTAAACAAATAGCAATCACCTCAAAACGTATTTGTTTCAGTTGATCAAGAGTTGATTCAATCTGTCTGTTGTGTCCCTCCAGATATTGAATCCTCGCCTCCAATCTGTTCTTGTGCTGTCTCAGGAAGTCCTCCTTGTTTAGAACCTCACTTCCAGTGTCCACCGACAATTCTCTGCAGAACAAACTTGGCTCACTGCGCACCAATTTCAACTGGTTGTACTCTTCTTGGAGAATTCTTTAAAAAAATGGTTTACGCAACTATATTCTTTTCAAAATTAATTATTTATTTTTATAATAATGTGACAATGATTTAAAATGTGAAAACTCAAAATTGTAAAAAATGAAATCACAAAAATTATTTTTTTTTCTTTATTTAAAAATGAAGGTCAAACAAAAGAGAAGTTTGAAAATTTTTTTACTGACTGATTTTCATGCTCTAGATCATGAATAAGTTCTTCTACAGGAATCCTCCTACCTTCTCCAACTCCATTATCATCTAAAGAAATTCCAACTGGTGTCTAAAAGAACACGATAAAAAAAAACACGTATAAACACTTGGAAAAATGTTTAAATTAAACAAGACGTTGATATTTATCAAAGTGACAAATTTATTCAGCAACAAATGACAAATAATTTTATTTCATTGAATCAAATTGAGACCTCATTTCCATGCAAGTTTTGACAATATTTGGCAATTAGGCTGTGCTCTTCTGATCTGAATTAATTATGTCAAACAATTCTTTTCAACGTAAACAAAATATTTCAAATTTGGATTATGAATACATTTTATTAAATCATATGTAACGAGTGTGATAATTTATCATTGTTGCCATATAATAAAAAACTATAGCCAGGAATTTGTTTGGTTTTCTTTGCTCCTATGTTTTTAAAATGGAGCTGACACTAAAAAGTGTTTCCACTCTTTACTGAATTATTTGAATTATTAATAATAATTTAATTAATAATTAATAATAGCTATTTAATCCATCTGATAAGCTATCATACACAAGGCTTTGTCCTAACATAATAGTATTATTTTCTATCACGTAGTTTAAACACCAACTGAACGTTAAAACCTATAATCATCAGTTTTAGTCCGAATTTTGAGGTACAGTTTTTGGAATTCTTATTAAGTAATAGGTGCTATATCAGACTTGTTGATGTTGTACAAGTCCACTTAACAAATACGTTAGGTTGGTGCCAATATTTTAAGAAAACTGAAAAAATGAACAAGTAAATTGGTGACCATTATAATTAGAATTTCATAGTTACAGTTCACATGCAATTCTAAATAATATAGAACTTTAAATATTGTTATAATCGTTGATACAGTTAAGAATACCATACAATTATAAGTACTTAAAAACAAAATCATAAATAATAAACGGATAGCCAACTCACTGATATACAGGCACCAGTGAAAATTTTGAATATTTGTTCGTAGTTGAAGTGGATCTGCATTTGTCAATGTCTTTGTTTGGTTTGTTGTTCTGGTTCATATTAACGCCGCTGTCTTTGTTTGTATTGCTTATATTTGTTCTCACTGTGTGATGGTCGTATGTGTGAGAATTGTTTAAAGTTTTCTGGTCTGCAGTTTTGTCTATGCTGTTGGTTTTACCTGCGAAATATTTCATTTGGGGCGATGTGGATTGGGACCTGAATTGGAAAAACGTGTCAACTCTATGACGTCTATTAATTTTTTGATTTTTGTTTTACTCAAGGGCCGTGAAAATATATGATTAGAAGCGGTTAAGTTGACCTATCAATGGTGTTTGTTTCACTTGAGGATGGCTGCACAGGTAGGTAGCCAAGTCTCGGGTGCTTCTTGAAATACTGCTTCGATCGGAACTTGTTTTTCAGCACAACCTTCAAGTCTCTCATTTCGTCTCCAGATGTCGCCTGTGAAGATTTCTCAATTCGTAAACTCATATTCTATTTAGTGAATATTGAACATTTATCAGATTGTTTAGTTCTGTATATGCATTTAATTCTAGTTTTCTAATTTATATAAAACCTAACGATATAAATTGAAAACCACCACCTCGCTGCTGTACTCCTGCATAGGATGATTCAGTTTGTGGTTTTTTGTGGTACTGCCCGCAAAGAAGCAGTTCTGACACATGTCGAAGTTGAAACATTTCAAACAACGGTATCTGAAGCAATTAATTTGCTCCACGTTTATAAATAACTAAAAAAAAAATTAAATTGATGAAATATATAAAATTATATTAATAAATTTCCAAAATAATAAGCATGTTTAGCTAAATACGCATTCCATCGTAATAAAATTAAAACATTTTTATGAATTTAGAGTTTCTTTTAGCTCAAGAGCAATGAATTTGACAGCATTCAATCAAGGTTGAACCTTATTCCAGAGATGGGCATGATTTTGCAAATGACACATCTGACTTGATGCAAGGATCTTTCGGCGGCACACAGCCTATGCATGACATGTAACCACACGATGGACTGCGGCTCCATGCGAGTCCACTCTAGGAACTGGTCACAATCTATCATGTCGTCACACATTGCCTGTCAAGTTGAGGAAATAATTTACTTACGTTGTTTATCTTAGTCAAATGTTTAGCATCTTCTATATTTTATGTAACGAACTTCTTAAAATAAGTTTATTCTACGGAAGTCATAGCAGTTGCAACATTTTGCGTAATTATTTCAGCTACTCATTAGTTTACTTTGCTGTAACCAAGGTTTCATTCTCAATTCGAAATGAGCGAATATTATTTGATTTTGCTAAAATATCTCACTAAATATTCACAATCAAATCATAAACTATTATCTGATTAGTAAACGATTATTTATGCCGACGGTGAATCGTCGATGTGTTTCATCATCGTCTGGTTGATTGGGATCGTGAACCTTTTAAATTTTGAATTTATTGTAACACACACGAGTTATTTCACGAACAACGTCTAACTGACTAACTCCCTTCACCTTCTATTTCAGATGATGCATGAAATGTACACAAAAATTTTTTTAATTTCGGTGTTTTGCAATTATTTTGTTTTGTGATTTATTTAGAAATAAATTCAAGGTAACAATTACTAATCTGATTATATTTTCATACAAAAATGATGTATAAACAAATTAATTTCAATTTGCATTATGACTACTAAATAACATATTGGAGTAGTAACCATTTTCTTAACTCCAGCGATCAAAAAGTAACAAAATTAAGAAACAAGTGAATAGTAGAAATGCTCTTCAGCGTTGTACCTCGTTCGTACCAACAAAACTAACCCATATACCAAATGCTTACGTTCTGCGGCACCAACACACATTTTTTCTAGTTTAATTAAATCTTTTTCTCTTGCTAGAACCATATTAATGGTGTTTGTAATCTATCTAATTTTGAAAAAACTATAATGAACATCAATGGATTTATTCTTGAAATAAGCATAAATGCATACGTTACGTTCAAGTCATCGTCGTCATTACCAGTGTGATTACTATCGAATATATAGGATGTTAAAAATGAAGTTATTAGAGAGGCAATTTATTGATAGAAAAAATTTGTTAACCCTTTCGAAGCAGCTCTTGACACTGGGCTGCACGTTGAGACCTCCGAACGAATAATCCTCTCCCAGTTGCTGAGGGACCTTCATCAATTCTATCAGCAAACTGGACAGCTGGGTCGAACTCATTAGCGCCCGTTCATCGCACACCAACTCGAACAGTTCTTCAAATTTTTTTAAATTAATTCAATCATTCGCTTGAAAAATTTCATGACAAATTTTAATTTAAGTTCGACTAATGAGAAGAGCTTTCAATCTTTTCAGACGTGTTTCAGTGTTCGATTGAAGTGTTTTAAGACAGTTAGAAGATTTTTTTTTACTTTTATACTTGCGGTTTCTTAAAATATAAGAAAAATTGTACCAAAATTTCAATAGTTTGTTTTTTCATGTTCTTTAGTCATTATAAAGGAGATTCTAAACTGAAATAACCAAGTTAAAGATAATACTGTTGACCAGAGATTTAGTGAAGTTTCTCAGAGCAGTTTTCAAACAAAATCTCAAATCTTCCACGAGTTCAAAGTTGTGCAGATCTAATAATTAATACATCAGAAATAAATCCAGTTATGCAAGTGAATTGATGTCAAAATGGTAAAAATGTTAAGCGAAACTAATGAGCAGAGCAGCAACAAACTTTTGAACTTCTCTTCAAGAGATGCGTTGCTTAACAGCATAAGGGCTACCTTGATGGACAACAAATTGAAATGACCAGTTCTATGGCTGTAAGTATTTAATAATTTGAAAAATCATCAAATATAACAATAATTAAAAAATGTTATTCAACCTAACACCTTATAAATGAAATTTATTGCGAGAACACTGCAAATTCTATTAGGCTGCAGTTTTTGCATCAACTAAGTACGCAAAATTTTCAGCTTTCCACATTGTTCATTGTAAAAATATTAGTTGAGTATTTTGAGTAACAGAATTTTGCCGATAAATTAATATCAAGTTTTTTGTGTTTCGTCAAAACCAAGTTTCCAAAATATATTAGCATTAGTACTGGATTATCATTACTGAAAGCAGTAATATCAATGACATAGTTACATATCGTAAACGTTGAAGAGCCAGTTGAGGGTGAGGTCGAAGGTGGGTGCGTCTGCAGGGTAGAGGTCTAACAACCAGGTCACCACGTCACTGACCCCAACCGTCGCATCACGTGACTGTGGAGCCGACGATATGAGGTATTCGTGGACCGTTTTCAGTGAGGTTGATGATACTGCGGGAGTGTGCGGTGGTGTGGTGGGTGGTGGGGTGTGGTGGAGTGTGGTGGGGTGGGCTGGATTGTAGGGTAGTGGGATGGGCTGGATTGTAGGGTGGTGGGATGAACTACGTGGGAAATAATTTGTGAGGAATGAAATGTTGGTAGGTAGATTTTTACTTGGTCCAATAAACGAAAATTTATTTTGTAGGTGGCACAATATATGGTTGGATAAATGAATGGATGGATGGATGGATGGATGGATGGATGTATGGATGGATGGATGGGTTGATGGATGGATGAGTGCATAAACAAAATTTTGCTTTAAAATTATAAAAATAATTTAAAACAAAAGAAATAATCGCCACAAACAAACAAGATAATTATATAAATTTTTTAAAATTTTTCCAATGAAATTTTGTTAAATGTCCAACATTTGAGCCTGAACTGGAGCATCCTGAGTTTCATGGCCGTCCTGTAGGCTGAAAATCTCACGGCATTCAACGTACCTGGTTTAAATAAAGCGGTGCCAATCATAAACTCCAAATTAAACTGAGTATCAAGGCACATTTTAGCCCATCCCTTACCAAATTAATTACGATCGCCAAAATATTGCACAAGTCAAATATTGCCCAACTGTAGCAAGGTTAAGTGTTAGAGTGTAATAAATTCGGTTCTGCTTCTACAATTTCAGTGTAATAGAACTCTAAGTTATATTCAAATGTAGGCAAAAAAATGTGAGTGATGAAGCATGGATTTTTTCATTGAAAAAAGTTATTTATTATTACTGTATGTTGGTCTTGTGTCCTGAATTTTAAATTTCATTTCGTTATTAAATTATTAGAGTTAACTTTCGAGCATGAAGTTCAAACATTAAAAAATCGAAATAATGTGTACCATTGCTGTTTTGATGGCCACGATAATGAGAGATAATTTTAAAATACTGTCCAGATGATTACGCGATTATGTTTAATGAAAAAAAAAGGTTAACTGTACGTACAAAAAATTGAGTGAAAATGAGGAGAGAGGACTTACTGAGGTCGTGAAGGAGGTTCGTCATTTCGGGGTGGTCCCAGTGGGTCGATTCGGATTTATGGCTGGTGATATGGAGTTGTGAGTAAAAATTATTTAAAGAATTCTGTCACTGTGATATTTATGGCTATAAATATCTACACTAACACACGAGCGCTCGTCTTCACTCACAAACAACTTTCGAAATATTCTTAATAAAAAAAAGAATCTATTTTATTACGAATAAAACAAAATTAAATAATTTATTTTTTCAAATGAATGTTGATAAAAAATTGTGATGTAAGGAGCCAACTTGATATAGTAAGGCACGTTGTTGGCTGTCAATGCTCTCTCCCAAGACGCTTGCACGGGCACTGCAAATCAAACAACATGGTCACGTTCAACTCTCAGCCAACTCATGCATTATTCTCATCATTATGCATTATACAGCTGTTCATGCAACAGCAATTCATGCAATGACAGTTATTAAAAAAGTTTTAAAAATTTGTATTTCAGGAAAATAATTAGAATGGCAATAATCTTACTACAAAATTTTCTTATGCAACCGTATTAAATAATCAATTTTTACAAACTAGACTTCAGTAAAACAAAAAAAAAAGATCGTATCTCGAATTAACAAAACGATGATTCACTAACTGCTGAGAAAAATTTTGAGACTTTGATCCTTCATTTTCAAAATATCAGTCAGCTGTTTCATTCTATGCTCAATTGAGCTCAGTAGTTCTTTCCATCTAAAAATTTGTTAAAGTTTACTTGAAAAATTGAACTATTTTTTTAAAATATTTCAATAACTTGTTTTGTGTAAAATATTTTAAAATTTAATTGCTTTTTTAACTTCAAATTTGATCCATCGCCGGTAGTACGTTCAATCTCTCACTCCTTACTTTCCATCAACCATGCACATCAACTTTAAAATTCATCAGACCTCCCACCTCCTGTTGTTCTCCTCCATCTTGGAGACGTATTTGTGGGAGAGGACGATGCCTGTATCCTGTAGCTGGTTTGCCTGCGTGTTGCATCCGTCCAGCAGGGACTTTAACGAAGTCACACTTTGGTGGTAGGTCTGAAAGTGTCAGCGGAAGCATCAATTTGTTTCATATGCACGAAAGAATATTCAGGTAGCTGCGTTGGAAGCGTGGATATCTTGTTTGAATGTTTTATGCATGAAGTTCGCAGCTGGCACCTTATGAATATATTATATGTTGCCGACCTAGTTGTAGCATTGATGAATTTATGCTAAAATTTACGTTAGCTGTGAATTAGTCCTGCACAAACATGCACGTGGTTTTGTTTTCTAATGTCTAGGTCTTATAATAGATTGTTATTATTTTTGTTGGTTTATTTAATCTGATAATTTAATGAGCACTGGGTATGTCATGTTTGCGCGCATAACAATGCGACAAACGTAAATAAGAGTGTCTGAGCTTTTAATTGCAATCATTCATTCAATCAACCACAGCAGCAACTTTGACCTTCGCCCTTTTCAGTTCACTGATCAGATTATCACATCCTAATTTCTCGACCGGCAACCAAAAAATATTCTCCGTTGCTTCTTTCAGACTGACGCTCACTTCATCCAAGAGTTTTTGCAAGATGTGCAGTTTCTATGTTAATGTTTTTTTTATTTACTAATAACAATCAATGATTTTGCAAAACTAAATTTTTCAATTTTATATGCTGGTAAAATTTGATGGAGATGAGTTAATTTTGTGTCATTGACTTATATAAATGAGAAACTTGAATTGAAAGCTTTTTTATAAAATGTAGATAAAAGAGAACAAAACGATATTATAAAGAAACTTTTGTATAAATTTATCAAACAATAATGTCCATTTTAAATTTCACAAAGGATCGCAAATGTTTAGAAGCGATGCCAAGCGATACCTTGGAAGTTGATGAGATGAGGACGAGGCAGTCAAAAACTTTCTGCCTGATATCAACCCACCGTTGAGGAACGTGGTAGGACAATTCCTCTATTCGCTTCTTTGTCTTAGAAAAATGTTCTGTAAAATGTAAATGATTTAACGGTGAAAAAATTATCATTTCAGCAGTTATAAACTGATTTACAATTAAATTTTAAAATTAATTTCGAACGTTTAATTTCATGCAGAACGTCGTAATTAGATAATTAATTAAAAATAAGATACTTCAAATGCTCTTAAAAAAGAAATCCACCAGTTTGTAGGTGCATGTGCTTCAAGAAACTATCTTCTTGAAGGAGCATATTTGACGTTTCCACAACCTTCTCCAGCAAAATTCTTCTGTCTTCCAAATCTGATTGAATAGCCTGAATATAACGTTATTTTGTCTTTATTAATTATTTTAATATGGTTATATATATATATATATATATATATATATATATATATATATATATATATATATATATATATATATTTGATTGAGCAGAATGTTGTGTCGCTTTTAGATATAAAATAAAAACAATTCTTTCTAATTAATTCAAAATTGTTATAATTTATATGAGACGAATTCATTTGTCATCTTTTGCCATCTAACAATCATAATTTTAATTTATTATTTCTGTTTAAATGTTCTATCTTTTAGTTCAAAAAACTGGTCTGTCAAGTCTTGCAAAAAAGATCTTAGTTTTTTTTTACCAACGAGGGAGTATTGCTGGGACCTGGACCTGAAAAATTATAGTCCGAAGATGATGAACAGAATATGAGTCATACACATGAAAGCACCTAAAACAAACTGTGAAGACTGTAATTATGTCTTAAATAACAATCTTTAAAAATATGTAGAACTATTTATTTGGTATTAAAATTTATTGTGAATATTTCAAATTTTTACTGTCTAGTCGCTAATTTCAAAATAATTTTTAAAAACACAACAAACTTTCAGATGTCGGAGGAACTTGATCAAAAATTACAGTTACAAAATTTTTCATTAACTGCCATTAAAAAAATTGTATTTTTGCGGTTCTAGTAGAAACTCGCTTCAAAAAATTGTTTGTAACACTTTCTTGGTACCTAAACTTCTTAAACAAGTCAATGCAAACAAATTAAAATCGATGCTTGAGGAGTATCAGTATCAAATACAGGAGCAATGTCTTTTTTAAAATTTGGATTACTTTCCATAATTTTTTCATCATCAACCTTCGAATATCTATATGAGAATGGCTGATTCTTCAAACCACACTTCCCCCGCGTTATTCCGCAGTTTCGTGCTAATAATATATAGCGTAGCAAAAAGTATGAGTCATTTTCATAACTCACGTAGCAGTTTCATCATGTGGAATAAAAGTAGTTTGCAATTTTCACTTTGAAAAAATTAATAAATTATTTCTAGTGTACGTTAGGAAAAACTGTCTTTAAAAAAGTCAATGTTTAATTTTTGGATAACAGGCATAAAAAAAGTTAGAAAGTTACAAAATCGGAAAGTTTAGAAATAAAAAAAAGGCAGCACATTTTTGAAAATGTTCTGAAAGACCGTTCTTTCATTTTAATCTAACCAAAACCTCTATTAAGATAATTTAAATAATTAATTTGACGAGAATTATTCTTTCATGATTTTTTATTTTATTCAAAAAACACACATATGAAAATTTCAGGTTAAAATGCGGATGTTGAAGCCTGACTTTACGACGGAGATATCCAGATAGAAAAAAGGTTTAAAAAAATTAAGTGAACCAAAAGTTATAGGAACTGACTTGCAATTCTTTCCGCTGACTCTTCAGTGTCTGGAGGTCTCCACCGATTGGTTGTTGTTTCATACATGCCTCGTCCAACCTGTTCATCCAGGCGTCCAACTCACACAGCACGTTCACCACCTGGTTCCAATAACTAACCAGCTTGCTTGTGCTGTCACTGTTTTCATTCAATGAGTCCGTATTGAATTATAAGCTGAAGTTGATTGTTTTTGCATCTTGAAACGTTAATTAAAGTTAAATATTGAAAAACACATATTAAAACGAAGCTGGAAATTTATTTTACCAACAGATAAATTAAAAAATAATTTTGTAATTTTACCAAATTTTCCGAACAAAAGAGGTAGTGTGAAAAAATGATTATTTTGAATTATTCAGAATTAGTTTGAAAGAAACTATCTACACACGCAATACTAATTTTTATTATCATTCGTTACAACTTTGACGCGTAAAAGTAGATAAAAAGAAATTTACTCATCAGATTGATTGAAATCAATTTTTTGATGCAGGTAGAGTTTCAGACCATCGATCTCCCTCTCCAGCAGATCATCCCTATCCACCCTCTCACCACTGTCCACATCTCTCCTGTGGCTGTTACTGGAGTTGTTGTTGGAGTTGCTGCTGCTACGCTTGTGAGACTCGCATTCGAACTTTAACTCCTGGAAATTTGGGAATTCGGGAATAGTTGGTGATTAAGTTAAACAAACATCTTGCAAAACTCGTTAGTATATTGTTTTTTTGTTTTTTATGTTGAAAGTTGTTTTAGCAAAAATTAGGTATGCACTAAATGCACGCACTTACACGCACACACAAACACACACACACACACACACACACTTATATATATATATATATATACACACACACATGAATACCCACATGTACGTATATAGATATATATTCACATTCTGCACAGCAATCGTATATAATATGAGAGAGCAGACCCGCCCGGATCTGATGCTTCGACAGAAAATGCAAATTGTTCATTTTTTATATTCCTATGGCTTTACAAACATCTACGCTTGAGTTGTGTATGCTGTTGGTATCTGCTTGTCTGTTGTGAGTATGAATATATGTTCGAGTATTTTTTTCTTCATAAGGTGTGAACATTTTACGTTGTCGGTCCATTCTTTAATTAAATCTATCAAATAAAAGTTTTTTTGGTTTGTCGTTAAAATAAAATCAAACTCTGTCTTGCTCTGCAACAAGCTTTTATTATTTTTTGAGTTGATCGCCAATTTGAAATTGAATCAGTCAGAATTTTTTTTTTATACAAATTGTACATTCGGATGACAAGTTTAACTTCTGTTGTAGTCAGTACGATCTTTCATAACAAATGTTGCCGTCTAATGATACTTGCAGAGACAGTTCAAGGTGTGAAACATTCACTGTAATTAATTGCATGC